GGAGAGTTATAGAGGAAGGAGCAGAGTCCTCCAGCAGAGCAGAGTATTTCAGGAGAGGAGAGTCATAGAGGAAGGAGCAGAGTCCTCCAGCAGAGCAGAGTATTTCAGGAGAGGAGAGTCATAGAGGAAGGAGCAGAGTCCTCCAGCAGAGCAGAGTATTTCAGGAGAGGAGAGTCATAGAGGAAGGAGCAGAGTCCTCCAGGAGAGGAGAGTCATAGAGGAAGGAGCAGAGTCCTCCAGCAGAGCAGAGTCCTCCAGGAGAGGAGAGTCATAGAGGAAGGAGCAGAGTCCTCCAGCAGAGCAGAGTATAAGCACTGAGGTTGAGTCCTCCCGGGATAATTTTGGAAAGGAGAACATGATTTTAAAGAGGACCTGTCACTTTTCCGTGTTTAATAGACTGACGTGCTTCAGTGACGGGGCACCCGGGCCCCGGCCCACCAGTCAGTGTGGAAGGGTCTCGCAGGGCCCCCAGAGGGGGTGCAATGTGGAACGCTATCCGGCCCTCTTCCTCCTGACACTAAGCTGCTTTCCTGGCACCGGCTTCCTGGCAGGAGATTGTAAAGATTTAATACAACATGTGTTGGTTGTGTAATTCCGGGCCCCGGGGTCTGCACGGCCGCAGAGGGGAGGAGGTGCGTGTTGGCTGACGGTTCCTTTTTCTGAAACATTTCGGCTTCCTCGCCAGAAGAACAATGTTAGAAAATATCTCTGAACATTCTCTGCCGGGGGGGGGGACACAGCCATCATGGCGGCACTCACGTCGGATCTGGACGGGGCCCGTGGCTCTGCTCCTACAAGTACAGGAACATCATGTATTCCGATGTATCCCTAACACCTGATATAAGCTGGAAGATTTCATGTTCTGTCCCTTTTTAAATTTGCAGATTTCATTTTAATAAATCCTTGTGATCCCGCCATGAAGGTCCTTCTTCAGCCTCTTCCTGTTATGGCAAATATACAACCTGTCCCTCCTCTGATGCTTTGTCTTGGACCATGTCTCGGGATCATCAGCATATTTAGAGGCGGGGTCTGGGCTGGACCAACCTGTAAAGTGGTCATGATGGGTGGTCCCTGGATATTTAGAGGCGGGGTCTGGACAGGACCTTCCTGAGAAGACTATAGGTAGGGTGTTAAAAGCATCTGGGACCATAATGTAAGTAAGTGTATTATAGGGTGGCAACACTCAGGCCCTGTCTCCCAGTTGTCACCCTCTCTCTCTCTCTCCCTCCCCTCTCTCTTCCCCCCCCCCTCTCTCTCTC